CGCCTGCCGGTGATGATGGTGATGATGTCGCTGACCTCCTCCTCCAGGTTCCTAGCCTGAGCAACAACAACGATCATCATCACCATCATCATATGAACGTCAACGTCAGTAATATTGATTGATAAGTTTGTTTCTTAATTTTCGATTGATATTGTATTTTCAGCTGAAATGGGTTTTAATTTCCGTTGATGCATATAGACCGGTTTGCATCTTCTAACGGCAAGTGTGGGTAGCGATCGATCAACAGCTGATGACGGGTCATCTATTAATGAGGAAGATAGAGAGAGTAGAGCTGATCAGGTAATTAATTAATTAATTAATCTCAAATTTATAATAATTTGCCCTTAATTAATTAGTTTGTTGATTACTATAGCGAGATACTGTGTCACGTACTCCACATGAATTTATCTCGGCGAACTTAAATTAATTGGTTAATTAACTATTTTTTGTATTGCATTGGGGTTTAATTAATGCTTCAGTTGTCACTGATGCGAGCCGAGGTTGGGAAGCTGAAGGAAGAAAACCAAAGGCTAAGGAGCGTGTTAAGCCAAGTCACCGGAAACTACAACTCCTTGCACATGCAATTCATCACTTTCATGCAGCAAAAGAATACTCAGAGACAAATTAATAACGACGGAAGCCCACAAGTACAGGAGGTATATAATCACAATTATCAAATCAATTAATTTAAGTTTCTTTCTTTTTTTTTTTTTTTTGTGTGTGGTGTAGAGGAAATTTTTGAATTGATCGACTAATTAACAATATATATCAAATTAATTAAATTGATTCAGGTCGACATTGATGAGAAAATGGATACAAAGAAGCAGGCAATCATTCCAAGACAGTTCATGGATCTGGGCCTCGCCTCCGTTGACGTCGACGACGGTTCTTCAATGGAGGGTGCAGGTGGTGGTGGGAGTAGAGAGAGATCAACCTCCCCTAGCAACAACGTCGACATCAGCAACATTAATTTCGAAGGTCAATTAGCTGAGGATGGTAGCCTAAACAACAACGAGCTGGGCTACAATATTAATAGTGGGTTTAAAAAGGAAGTAGCCAGCTCCTTTGATCGCTCCATCAAGTCACAAAGCAGCGGTAGTGTCGACGTTGTCTGCAGGGAGGAGATCCGAGAGCGATCGAATCAAGGCTGGGGGCCTAATAAATCACCCAAATTGTCTACTACTTGTAACAATTCTGATCAGGCTCAAGAAGCTACTATGAGGAAAGCTCGGGTGTCGGTTAGAGCTCGATCCGAGGCTCCCATGGTAATTAATTAATTAATTAAACTATTTAATTATATATCTCGGGGGACGAAAAAAAATGTAAATAATGTTTCATTTGTTTTTTCCAAACATTAGTTCAACATTGATTGATTTTTGTTTCTGCAGATCGCAGATGGATGTCAGTGGAGGAAGTATGGGCAGAAGATGGCGAAGGGGAATCCATGTCCTCGGGCTTACTACAGGTGCACTATGGCCGCTGGCTGTCCTGTTCGCAAACAGGTAACTATTATTAATTAATTATATTCCTTCTTTCTTCAAGTTATATTAATTGCCAATTTTCTTAATTAGCGCATATATACATACATCTTAATTAATTATCTTCTGAGCTATACGCATGGTAGCATATTTTCCTAATTATTAATCATTCATGGCAATTAATATCACGGTAGTAACGCTCTTGCGAAATGTACGTCTAATTAACTCTAGATATCAACCGTGTGCGGACGACCGTGACCCTCGAATTCATGGCAATTATATATATATACATCTTAATTAATTATCTTCTGAATTCATTCATGGCAATTCATATATGCAGGTTCAAAGGTGTGCGGACGACCGGACGATCCTCATAACAATCCTCAAGCGCAACACAGCACCTCTCGCCAGCAGCCGTAAGCCATGGCGTCCCCACTCGGCCGCCGCCACATGGGCTCCTCCGCAGCATGTCGACACCGCCCATCATCAACCCGAGCTTCCTCCCACACTCTCCCGCCCCTCCTCCTCTCAGACCCTGGCACCATGCTCGCCTCCGCCCCTCCCAACCGGGACCTCGACTTCACCCAGGTCGCCCAACCTCCTCCATCAGCAGTCCTCGTCTCAGAGACCTCCTTTCTTCTCAGTTTCAGCTATCGGCTTTCGGTTCTGTCGCCTTCCAATTTTCGGTCTGCAGATGTTCCTCGTCGCCGGTGGATCAGGTTAGTCTGGCCACCGCCGCGAATTACGAGCGGATCCTAATTTTACGGCGGCGGCCTGCGCTGGCGATTACCTCCGATTATGGGAATGGAGAGGGCGGTGGCGGCGGGACGGCGGGCCCCGCTCCCCGCCACTGTTTCCGTCTCAGCTAACCGGCACCGGCAATAATAATATTAATGTTTGTGAGAGTAGAAATTAATGGCTCTAGTTAGCTATATATTTTCCAAATTTTCTTTTTAATTTCCTTAGTTTTTCTTTGGATTTGTTAGCTTGTTTGAAAAAAAAAATTCTTTATGGAGAAAGAGATCTAACTAGCTAGAAGAGAATGAATAAGGTAGCTAGTTTTGTTTCTTTTTCCATTCATGCATATTGATAGGTTGGAGAACTGCAAATTTGATTTCGTTTCTTCGAGTTATATATGTTAATTATGGATTAGTTTGATTTTTATGCACGTGAATAATGTGGGAACGGTGATGATAGAAACATGCATGGAACTTTATCGACACTGATATTGCCACGTATACATATATGGATCGATATGTGAAGCCCAAAGTCAGCGGGGTTGGTGATATGATTTGGCCGTGGAATCTTATTATTATGTTCACACAGTTACCAATTATAACATGATGCATGAAACAAGGAACAGGTCACGTTCGATCCTTGGAATACCTTATTTTTCTAAGTTTGAGCCCAAGTTTGACCATTCTCCCATGATTAATTAATGCCGCGAGTTTAGTCTCACGTTTGGAAATGAGTAGAGTTTGAGGGGGCTTAGAGCATCTCCAACAGCTTCCCTAAAATTTTCTTCAAAATGAAGAAACAAAAGTCATATTCTTCAAATTATTTTTGCTCCAACTCCAACAGCTTTCCCATTTTGAAAAATCGCATTTATTACAATAATAAAGCTTTACCCAAAAATTTGGAGAATGCTGCATAATGCTGCAGATTTGGGGCTTAACAATTTTGACGGTGAATTGAGACAAAATCTTGTGTTGCTCTTAGTGGATGGTAATGGTATAGCTTAACTATACTGCGCCAATGGGCTCGCAGCCCAGAACTTGACACATAAAAGACTCAATCCTTTTATTAAGGAAAAAAAGAAAAAGAAAACAACAAGAGGTGAAGTCTACCTCAAATTCATCTCAATTCAAGAAGTCGACGGGATATCGGGCTTAGGATCGTCGAGTATGGACCGACCTCGATGGGCGTTCCAAGGAATAAAACTTGAATCGCAATATCAATATTGGGATAAAGATGTAATCTGTAAGGGGTAGCTATTATACTAAAATTTTGATAGAACGGGACTAATTTGGTTTTCTATTTGACCCCGGTTTTTGTATTAATCAATTTTTTCTTTTTTGCAAGAGCTTTGATACATGGACCTAAAATATGAGACCAACATGGGGGCATGTGAGATGTCCCCCTCCTATTGCATAATGAGCTATCCATCATTAATGATGATCAGCTCATTATGCAATAGAAGGGGGACACCTCACCTGTCCGCCCTGTTGGTCCCATATTTTGATTCCTTAGAGAATTTTTCTTTTTACCATAACTACCCAAATTAACTAGCTCATCATAACTTTTATTAGAATCCATTAACGAAGAACACACAATGCTCCTTCTTCACTCGAGTTTTAGTCTTAAGACCAATCAACGGACACATCACATATTGTGACGAGGTACTAGTTCAATGAGAAAATTAAGCCCAAGGCGCAAAATTTGAATGCCTTTTGATTCCAGAGTTTAGCCGTATCGATTGACACTCATAATTATAGTTTGTTGAAGTTGCAGGGTTTTGATTCCCAACTTTCGTTTTGGTTTTCAAGTGGGATTGCTCTATACGGATCGGATGCTATCTCTATTAATAGGATAGGCCCTCTCTGAAATTAACAACGTTATTTTTGGCCGGAAAGAAGAATATTTGCATTCATTTTTGCACACACACACAAAAAAAAAAACTCTTTACATCTACATCATAGATACTTCTAGATCTGTCCATTATCATCACTATTTTACTCTCTAAATTATAGTCACGCTGTGAAGAATTTTGGCCCCGCGGTAAATTTCTAAAAGTCCAAACTCAGGAGACATTTTCTTACGCGGCCGGCCCAACTTAATTATTATTGAAGCGCTACACCGGCCCAACTGCAAAAATATCCAGCAACATCACCTTATCCCCGTCCATTTCGCCTCGCTCATGGCGCCATCTCCCCTCTCTGGTAAACCCCCGAAGCCCTGAAACCAGCAATACCATCGTCGTCGTCATCGTCAATGGCGCTCTCAACGATCAAATTCACTGAGCTCCCCTTTCACAGGCCCTTCATCCCTCTCTGCTCCCGCTTCCGCTCCCGCCTCCTCTCCTCCTCATCCTCCCCCTCCCCCTCCTCCGCTCGCATCGCCGACCAAAACCCTAGCCCTAACCCTAGAACCTCCCACCGCTCGAAACCCCCATCCGCCCCCTGGACCCTCCCCCCTCCCCACCGGCTCCGGAGAAGCCCAAGCCCTCGACCTCCATCGAGCGCATCGTCCACAGGCTACGAACCCTAGAGTTAGGGTCCGAGGAAGAGGAGGATTCGAACCAGCCGAATCCTTTGAAGGGGGACGAGAGGTTGGGGGAATTGTTGGAACGGGGCTGGAACCGGCCGGATCAATCGCCGGCGTCGGTTCCGTTGCCGTGGGAGAGGGAGGAGGGGTTCGCCGACGCCGGTGAGAAGGAGACGGGGAAGAGGAAGAGGGTGAAGGCGCCGACTTTGGCGGAGCTGACGATTGAGGATGAGGAGCTTAGGAGGTTGAGGAGGGAGGGGATGACTCTGAGAGAGAGGATCAGCATTCCCAAGGCCGGGGTTACCAAGGAGATTTTGGAGAAGATTCATGATTTCTGGCGCAGGTCGGAGCTTGCGAGGTTGAAGTTTCATGAGGATTTGGCGCATGATATGAAGACCGCGCACGAGATTGTAGAGGTTAGAGATTCTTGGAAACGATTTGGCCGCAGTTTTGGGTTTCAATCATATCATATTAAATTAAGTTTCTATTTGCATTTGTGCTACTGATGCAAATGGGGGTAGATATGTACCCAGTAGGATGCTTACATGAATACCAAATATCAACAGGTAGTATATGAATAAGGAAACAAATATACGACTAATATATGTAGGTCTTGTGATCAAGTTTCAATATTATATTTATCCATGTTATAATTATTCATGTTATAATTATTTTGACCGTTAGACTAGTGATTTGATGTCAACTGTGATGACTCAAAGATCGAATCTTAGTCTTTCAGATATGTCAAACTTATTAATGAACTCCCATTTGAGAAATTTATATCTCAACATTTATTGTTCGACATGAGTCACATGACCTATATATTTTCTAATCCCATCTGTTTTACTCATCTGTGATATATTCGAATGTATATCCTCTTATTTAATCCGCATCCATGTTTGATTTTGACGGATATGGACTACGAGTTTAACCATATACATATTCACAAGTAGTAAGCAAAAATGGCTATATATCTGATCCATTTTGACCCCTGATTTGTGTTGTCCTTTGTCAATATGTTGACGATGCACAAGGATTTTTGTGTTGCTAATTTTGAGATTGATGTATTTTGTTAATTATTCTGATCAGAGACGAACTGGAGGATTGGTTATATGGAGAGCAGGAAGTGTTATGGTTGTCTATCGAGGAAGTAATTACAAAAGACCTTCAAAGTCGCAATTTCTTGGCGTTGAAACCTCTCCTGCACAAGCGTCTCATGGAGGAGGCACATCGTTTGTTCCAGATGTTTCAAGTGAAGCTCCTGGGAACGATAATCATTCTCCATCTTTAACTCTTGACAAGGTGAGGTCGTTGCAAACAAACCTTGCTGATAGCATGACAGAGGAGGAAGCGGAGTTCAACAGTTTGCTTGATGGGTTAGGTCCTCGCTTTGTTGATTGGTGGGGAACCGGATTATTTCCTGTGGATGCTGATTTGCTGCCTCAAACTATTCCTGGTTACAAGACGCCCCTTAGAATGCTTCCCACAGGAATGCGGCCGAGGCTTACGAATGCAGAGATGACGAATTTGCGAAAGCTTGCAAGAAAACTTCCTTGCCATTTTGCCCTTGGTATACTCAATTTGAAATATTGTTGTAAATTGAACTTTTTTGTAACCATTCCTCCATTATTATACCTAGCTTATCTTCGTTTGTTAAAGGGAGAAACAGACATCATCAGGGATTGGCAGTCGCTATTCTGAAGCTTTGGGAAAAGAGCTTAGTTGTGAAAATTGCTGTTAAACGGGGAATTCAAAATACAAATAACAAATTAATGGCTGAGGAGCTGAAGGTGTGTTGTTTCTCTTAACGAAATTTTTATTACCTGAACTTTACTCTCTATGATATTATTCCCTATATCTGTTTGTTTCCTGGAGACACGCTTAGAGCTACTTTTGGTAGCACATATTGATAGATTGCCAGGTCTGGTGTGGTGCCTCTTGCATTTTAGCAGTTCTATCTAGACTTCTGTTATACTAGGAAAAGCATTTTGTTGTAGGAACTAAATGGTGCTGTTTTTCTCCAGAATCTGACAGGAGGCATCTTGCTTCTACGAAACAAATATTACATTGTTATATACCGCGGCAAAGATTTTCTTCCTACATCAGTGGCTGCTGTTCTTGCAGAAAGAGAGGAGTTGTCAAAAGATGTTCAAGAAGTAGAAGAGAAGGCACGGAACTCTTCTATCGGTGAATCTAGCATTGACAATAACGGAGGATATGCGCTTGCTGGTACATTAGCTGAATTTCAGGAGGCTCAAGCACGCTGGGGAAGAGAAGTAACTGCTGAGGAGAAGAAGGCAATGAAAGAAGAAGCTGCTAGAGCTGAATCTGCTCGATTATTCAAGAGGATTGAACATAAATTTTCTATTGTAAGCCAAATTTCCCCTGTCCTCTCTAGTGAGCTCTTATTTATTTATTTATTTAATATTTTACACGGAGGCTTAACATGTCTTCTTCTTCATTGAAGGACTAAATTTTTAAGATTGCATTTTTTTTGTTCCTTTGAGCTACGAGGAATATAATGAATTTATCATCTGCTCATATATTTTATTTGCTATACTCTAAAATTATAGCAAAAGTTATTACATTCTTCAGCACATGCTATTCAATCTTATCACCTGTTTTTTGTTTGCTTATAATTGTCCTTTTCCTATTCCTTTCACATCTTTCTTCAAGTTGACACCATTCAATCCTTGTGTAATTTATTTTGGTTGCATGTCGTAGTAATGTAATTTTGTTGGGCCTGCTTTTGCATTTTATAATTACCTCATCTGCAAATTCATTTTATGTTCGGGATGATGGTATGATAATCTTTATTCATTCTCTTGTCCTTTCCTCCTGTCAGTTCAAATGTTCAGTTTCAGTATGACAAGGCCATGGTCTTAAATGGTCCTTCAGCAATTTTATAGACGTTCCTAGACTGCTGCTAATTAGGTTTCCCCCTCTAAAAATGGATCAGGCTCAAGCCAAAAAGTTACGGGCTGAGAAATTACTTGCAAAGATTGAAGCATCCATGGTTCCAGTTAATCCATCTGACGACCAAGAAATGATAACTGATGAAGAACGTTCTGTTTTTCGTAGGATCGGGTTGCAAATGAAGTCGTACTTACCTCTTGGTGAGCTTCTTTTATAGCTTACAGCGAAGTCCAGTCTGATATCTTAGCTAATTGCTTTTCTGCTTAGGCATTCGTGGTGTTTTTGATGGTGTAATTGAGAATATGCATTTGCATTGGAAACATAGAGAGCTGGTAAAGTTGATCTCAAAGCAAAAAACCCTTTCCTTTGTTGAGGATACTGCACGATTGTTAGAGTACGAAAGTGGAGGAATCTTGGTGGCAATTGAGAGAGTCCCCAAAGGTTTTGCACTCATTTATTATCGTGGCAAAAACTATCAGCGGCCATTCTGCTTGAGGCCCAGAAATCTCCTAACAAAAGCCAAAGCATTAAAACGTGCAGTGGCAATGCAGCGACATGAGGTTTGTTCATCTTTCTTATTGAAAACTTACATGTAATGGCTTATATGAATATGCTTAGTTTCTTAAGGTACATAATAAATTGTTTTTTTAGTATTTTGACTGATTAAACTTTTTATATGATTGATTCAGGCACTTAGTCAACACATAACCGAGCTGGAGAAAACAATAAAGAAGATGAAGTCAGATCTGGTACGTATTTAAATTGTATATTATATTCAAATTTCAAATACATTTATTTGATTGGTTAAACATGCACATAAAACCGCGATCTGTGTGCACTCATATATGCATCATGGATGAAGTGAATGCACTTACAGACAAACATAGGGAACCTATGTAATTCTAACCACTTGATGAATGGGCTAATAGAGATTCTCAAAGTGTTGGATCTTTTATGGGTTATGTTCAAGCATGGAGATCGTGAACAGTGGATTATCCAAGGAAATGACCCGTTAATCATCTATTTATTTCTCTTGACTAGGAACTTCGTACCAAATGAAAGAGGTTTGCATCATGTGTTCCAATTTACTGACCCCAAGAGACTTGAATTGTGGTGGTGGTGATGATTAATCCATATACTTATGTTTTGGAGAATTTCAGAAATACTTTAATGGAAGTAGTATTGGCAACTACAGCGTAGTGTGAAAAAACCCCGTGACACTCCGTTGTGGGCATGTTGGTGCGAGAATATAAGATGCTTATTTAGACTATCCAAATTTCCGATCTAAAGCTGTGTTTCCTAGATTTTTACCATTATAGTTTCTTGTCGTTTTCTTTTCCTTTGAGCTGCCATTTAGAGAGGTATTTGATTGTTCTTTCTCATGTTTATATATCTTACAGGGTTACCCTGAAACTGAGGGAAGCGATAACAGTATGGGGTTTCAATCTGCCCACGCCTCAGACAACAACGAGGTGAGACCTTTTGTGAGCTAGTAAGTCTTTGTGGTATGTGATTACTTATGGGTTATTAATCATAAATCTTGGCTTACTGCGTTTTAGATGGAAGGCGAAGAGTTTGTTAGCGACTCTGAAGATGAGTTTGTAAGCGGCCCCGAAGATGGGGAGTTTGTTAGTGACTCTGAAGATGATGAGCTATGACTGAAGTATAAACAAGATACTACTGTGTGTACGGTTTAAATGCAAATGTTGAGGGAAGATTGCACTGTTTGATTTGATCAGCACGTCTTCAGAGTTTGACTTGGGCCAAGAGAATACAGAGTGGGCCATTCTCTCGTTTACTTCAGGGGTAGATTCACAAAGGAAGTAAGTTTGACACGGGTGCCTTTACTGGTGACCAACATAGCATTGCGCTGCACCACCACCGACAAATTTCATCTTCGAAGCTTGAGCTTGTGATTCGAATTTGTCATGTAAAATGACAAAAATATGTTGGACTCCTAACGTAATATTTAATTTGTTCATTTATCTGTTTACTAAGAGCAACTCTGGAGGTGTAGGTGCCAACATATTCAACGTGTCAATGACATACCAAGGATTGTTCGCTTTCAAAAGCCAAACAGATTGCCGATATGGATGGATAATGGAATGCTGGTAGTGAACTTTTCACGAAAAGACGGCAGGCAGTGAACTTTTCACGAGGGGAATCCTTGGTAGTGCTGAGCGAGGATCACGGGATCTGTTATGATGTGGATGTGTGTATGTATGTACTGTCAGTTCCCTCGAAAGAAAGAAATAGCATATGCCATTAAAGCGGCGCGTAGTACGAGGACAAAAGCCTAAAACCCTTGCATTTCGTCGCAGCTCCCCCCCAATCCCCTGATTAGACCAGCTCGATGAATGGAGGCTCGGCCCCAAAAGGGCGACAAATAGTCAAATTATCAAATTATAGGTTCGACCCAAAGAGCCCAAATACATAATAGACAATAGCTATAGCCAACGGATGGTGCCTCTCTCTCTCGCGCGCGCGCCCCTCCTCCTCTCTTTATTAGCGACCGAATCGGTGAAAGCGAAAAACTCCCTAACCCTAATCGATAACAGGAATAGAGGAATAGCATTTATTTAACCCAAACCCATATCCGGCTCCCATTCCACCTCTCCAAATCCTAATTACTTCATCAGGGACTCGACGACCCTCGTAAAAAGCTCCGTAAATACTGTTGACATGGATTGATAATGATGCCCCCTACCCCCTCCAAAACCGATATTCTCTACTTATTTGGCTTATTAGATCCAACGCAATGAACGCAGCAAGCTAGCTCCAACAAGAGGCGTCCTCCAAGCTGTAGAGCTGACTAGGAGAACAGAATCTATTATGATGATGTGGATGTACGTGTGTGTATGTTATCAACTGCTTAAAATAAAAGAGAGAGACCATTAAAAGTAGTGTGGGCAATTGAGACAGCACATGTATATTCTTTGCACCGTTGAAGACGAGGATAATGAGATAAAATCTAACATGTCTACAGGATATGCGTTGTCGTGGTGTTGTTTTAGTCGGTCTTTAAAAGTTATCAGTGAATGCAAAAAAAAAAAAAAAAAAGCAGTAAAGCCTTCAGATTTAAGAGGCAAATGGCACCGAAGGATGGAGAGCTTTAGAAAATTAGTACATGTCAAAAGACCTCCCTTTTCCTAAGGGACGTATAACCTTAAGATTTGCTTTGATAAGATCAAAAGCAAGGAACTCGTATTAGTGCTTTTTGGGTATTAAACAAACAAATCCTTTCACACTGCAATACCAGTGATTAAACCCATCAAATTAAGGGCCAAGAGAAGAAATTATTTCCCGTAAAATGCTACTATATTACTCTTCAGCTCTTAGATATCGTAAATTTTTATAATTTTAATCTTTTACATTAGAGTTACGTTTAGTTTTAGGAGAACTCTCGTTATCAAAGAGAGAGGAGCCGCTAAAACGTTGAATGAAATATTGTCAATTCGGAAGAGAAGAAAGATTTCATGGTTAGCGGTTAATTTAATTGATTAAGAAAAACAAAGCCAACATCTTCACTGAGAAGAAACAAATATTCCAATTTAGAAAAAACGGAACAAACAAAAGACCAGAGAATATATATATATTTATATTTATATTAAAGAATAAAGAACAAATTCCCATCCCCATTCTTCCCTTTCTTTTTCCCTTTCCATTTCTTGCCTAATAAATTAATCCGGCATCATTTGACAAGTCTCCAATATATATGCTCTTGATTTTGCAGATTATGCTACCCCAATCGAGGGGTTGTTTGACGTGATTATAGTTGCAATGTAACTTTACTTACTATTTACTTCGATCACATATAGTCCAAAGCTTAGGTCCGGTCGATCGGAAACGTGCACACTACAGAGTATTCTTTTGGCCTTTTGTTCGGACGACCGCGATGATAGGTTAGTCGACCGCGAACCCTGTCCAGTCGAACCACATTATTGGTCGACCGAAACCCTGTAATTGATTTTGTTGAGTTTTCAATCTTTTGGCCGATCGACTGGACCACATTGTCGGTCGACCGGATCGCGATTTTGGGCATGATTTCAGTTTCCTGATTGGTTTGAGTTTCTGTTTTGATATAAATAAGAGGAAAAGAAAAGAGGAAAAGAGGTTTATTTGGAGCACAGAAAAGAGCCTTTTCTGGAGCTATTGATTAGGATTTTGTTTGAGAGATTGAGAGCTTTGTGTGAGAGATTAGTTTGTGGATTTTAAATCTCCATTTGTACTCTTCTTCTCTATTAGTAAAAACACATCCCCTTCTTGTCCCATGGGCGTAGACATCTTACCGAACCACGTAAAATTCGTTTGTTTGTGTTTGTGTCGTTATTTTGGATTGTTTTGCTTTCTCTCTCAGCATTGGTATTTGTTCTCGGTACCCCCATCGGTTTGGTCGCTACACACAACACATTTCTCACACAAAAGCACTCAATTAAAGCAAACCCTAAAAATCTAATAACTAATAACACGCCAAAAAAGAATACAACTTTTACTTCTTACATTAATTTCCCCTTGCTGCTTGTTTTAATTACCCCCGCCCCCTCTCTCTCAAAGTCTACGACTGCTAACGACCACCCCGCTCACGCTTCTGGCTGTTCCTCCGAACAATTAATCCAACCAGTTCAGAGAGCAAACGATCGCCAGCGACTTCCTCTCGCTGAAGAACCTCCATGTTTCTCGATGAACGCCTCGATCGTCTCCTGATCCTCTCCTCATTCCTAACGTCCGTCTCCGATCGCCGGAGCTCGTCGACCTTACGCCGCCGGCGGCTGATCTCCGTCGTATCTGCGCACTGCTCTCCGGCACCGCCGCTGCCGCAGCGGCTGCACGCAGCACCCGCTCCTTCCTCGAGCGCCCGCCTCCTCGCGCGGAGGCAAGAATAAATCGAGATAGGACGGGATCCTTCGGCGGCGTCTCTTTAGAGAGACGGCGGGTCCGAAGAGGAGGGTGAGGAGATGGCGTTGCGAGGATGAAGAGGAAGCCTGGGGCCGAGGATGAGCGAGTAGCTCGCCGACGAACGGCGCGGCGAAGTGGGCGAGAGGCGGATGATTAGGGCGCGGGCGAGGCCTCGCGCAGCGGAGGAGGGTGGTGAAGCATCTCGGACGCACGCGCCGAGGACGAGTTTCACGGAGGCATTGAGATTGGTCCTGGTCACTCCGTGTGTATTTGCGAGGGGCGCACCGAGGGGGCTCCTTTGCTATAAGATGGAGTGGCTGTCGAGGGGCGGCGCGGGGGGCGGCGGGGGGGCGCCTCCTGTCCAGTCGCTTCACACTATTATAGGAAATACCACGCGCTCACGCCAGCACCTTCTCTTCATCGAAGCTATTCATCATAGCCAGGTTTTGTTACGGCCCTGGTCACGTGATCTACGATGTACAACGTGGTTACGGTTTAGGGCCTTTGACGAAACAGTGGCAGTGGCATTTGGATCAAACCTCACAGTGGATGTCCAAATGAACGAGGCCCATTTGGGTGTTCTGCGAGCGATATGGATTCTGGCCCCGTCTGCTTTAGAAACAGGGCGCTAGCCGTCCAAGGCTCCGCGGTTCAGAATTCATTAGAATGTGATCACTTCACTATTAAATGAATTTGCCGAAAATGAAACTCAAATACCAAAAATAAATAAATAAATAAATAAATAAATAATTACACCGCTCGTCTCTGATAGGGCGTTGCGCTTGGAGCCTCATTGGTTGAAAAGCGACACGTTACGAGAAAAATAAAATTGCGTTAAAGAAACCAACTTCCAAATCCGAGTTACAGCTTAAATCACGGTGAACTAAAACAGCAGCATAAAGTAAAAGACAGCAACTAGCACGTAGGACTTATTTTGAGGATTGAGCCCTAACCCGGATTTAGGGTTATCTTGGGTTTAGGAGCAAATTAAAACTCCTTTGATAACCCGGATTTAGGGTTATCTTGGGTTTAACCAGTAGTCAATTTCTTTTTCGCCCTATCAGATTTTATCCCTATCCTGATAAGCATAATTTGAATATAAACAGGCTCTCTTGCTTTAATTTATAGTAGTAATAAGCATTTCTCTTGGAAAATTTTGGACCCCTACTTGTCGTTTTTTGCATTTTGTGTGCCCTGAGGCCTGAGTATAACACTGTGCTAGTATTCAAACTTGATCCAATTAGAAAGGTTCCACCACAACATCCTATAGAATTAGACGATCTATACCATTCGCGGATAGTTATTATTATTATTATTATTATTATTTAGTAGAAATTATGACTATTTGAATCAATAGTGTTAATTACCCTACTCCTGTGAGGGCCATTCTGATAGGTAGGAACCACGCTGTTCATTTACAAGAGAAACAAAAGTACACATGCTGTATTATTCCACGCCCTAAATTCTTTAGGGTATGATTCCG